AGATTTTGTTTAGTAATGTAACAGTGTTAACAGTGTCATGTTACCATTACCAACAATTGTAATGACTGACGTCATTAAGAAAATGTTACCCAAGATGGTTTAGATGCAGAACAAAAACTGATAGAAGACTGCAGTAAAATTAGTATTTTGTCTTTCATATGAGATATGATATGATAAATTTTCTTTGAAATGATGAGCGATTAGGGATGTGCACAGGTACGTTACTCGAGTACTTGGTATTGGAAACCTGAAATCACTGTTCAAGTATTCGTTTCATTCCATCACAAAGACAGGATTATATAGAGACTAATAAAAGAAATGCTGCTTTTACGTTTAACGGGACTGCAAAATGTTACGATTTTGCTTGGAATTATTTTACACAGTGTGAGTCCAAAACACATGCATTAACATGAGTGCTTTAATAAAAACATGTTGTCAAGGTCACGTTTGAGACGGTAGTTGTAGCGCAACTTTACTGCTAACTACTCTAGCTGATGTCCAGAAACAGTGTAAATATATGGTTCTCTGACAAATAACATGTTGGCACATCGTGCATTGAGGAGAAATTCTCTCATGTAAGACGTGTCGTACTCTGGCTGTAGCTTTGGCTCTGTTAGCCTCTTAGTTGTCCAACACAAAACTAGAAATTTTCTCCTCATCTTTTTTGAATTAAAAAACTCATTTTCAAATGTATTTTTCTGCTTGTTGCACATTTTTTGTGCTACTGATTTTTTTAACCTCTTAACACGAGAGCCACCTATGGAGCCTCCAAGGCCAATGTGTCAAGAATAAGGTCCGTGAGCCAGATCCTGCCTGTGACAGTATTTTAATCTTCTATTCATATTAGCCTTCTATTAATATTGTTTCAATATGTACTGCACTACAATCCCCAGCATGTACCACAATGTAAAGTGTGCTCTTTCAGTGGTTGGGAAGTTTGACACCTGTGCTCTATGGTGATTTTTTATTAATACAGTGTGGCCACAAACTACCACACTGAGGCCACATATTATTATACTGAGGCCACTAAGTACCATATCGAGGACATGAGTTCTGAGAAACTTAACTCGTGGCCTCAATATATAAATTACTAATATTTATTGAAAAATAATCACCATGTCACATTAGGGGCTGCATTGCAATCACCTCAGCCATGTGCTAATTAGCAGTTAACCGAACATCCATCTATTAACTTTTTTGGATACTTGAATATCAAAATTAGTCGGAATTGATATCACTAGAGACACAAACTAACAAGGTAAATAAGTTTTGATTTCAGGTTGACTTTAAAGACACAGTTTGGCCAAAAATCTAACTTGCCCAGTTTTCCACTGAAGGAATGTACTGCTGTGAATTTAGTGCTGTGATTGTATTACGAACATTCTGATCTGCCTATTTTTGTTTATCCCTACACGGTTATATCTGTCACACCTGTCACTTGTCATGTATAGGTTGGGCCAAATCTTGGCCTATAAAACTGTGTCTGGTACCTGCATGCAAGAAATAAACTTCAATTCTCCAGAGATACGGCTAGCTGCCTGGTTTTGTGACAGGTTTGGACTCTTCATGTGGTGCTGTGACCCGGATTGGACTTCTCTATGCTGTAGGTAAGTGGCCCATTTCGAAGCAAACCCCAGACCAGTAAATAACCTCCTCTCATTGGCCAGAGAAAAATCTACCACACAGAGGGGTGGTAGGGAGGCACCTGATTGGTCTGGTGTAAGAAAGCACTAGGCTATGCAATACAGAAAGAACCCAAACATGCTCAAACTCCTAGAGAGGCTTGGTGGCCAAAGTCGGTTTCTTCAGTTTCACTCTGGAGCAAAATCCAACATTCGTAAATAGTTTAATTCCAAAATGCTGCATATCCATTAAAAACAAATATCAGTTTGAAAAGAATAACAGCTGACTTACTGCACTACAACACATTTTATTTCTCTAATAAAGGTGGTATTTATCAAAATATAGTACAAGTGTGTGAAAAGCTCACGCCTGATAATGTAAATCATGAAAAACTAAATATAAAATTGGTGTCTAATGCATTTTAAAACAAAAATCTTCAAACAGCCAGCCAGTCTTCAACACATGTCACATCATGGGTTTAGTACTTTAGGACTGATACTTCAAACATTTTGACTTATTTTTTGTACTTTGGAAGTGCAGAATGTCTAGACAATGACATTAAAATATCTAGATCGGGGTGCCCAATTCTGGTCTAGGAGGTCTACCACCCTGCAGAGTTCAAATCCAACACCCCTGGCTCTAACGTTCAGATGCTGCTCAGACGGTACATCCCTAATTGTGCGGATGTAGTTCATCTGAAAGAGAAGTTCTAAAACGGCATGTAAGAGCTCAGCTTCCCAAAATCACTGGTGTCCTTCTTAACTATCAAACAAAGTCAAATTCATCTTAGAATGGATGATTTTTGTGCTGCAGAGCAACTGCAACCAGACACCACAACCGCAGCTCACTGAGTTACCGATGCACAAGAAACTCACGCAGGCCGAACGCTACTGGTATAAATGTATATATGTGTGTGTGTGTGTGTGTGTATAAATATACATATATATTAGGGGTGCGGGGAAAAAAATCGATTCTTAGATGCATCGCAATGCAGACGTGAACGATTCTGAATCGATTCACAAATGTCAAAAATCGATTTTCTAAATATTTAATTTATAACGTAATGTTGACGGAACACAAAGGGCGGAACTTGGAAGTGCAGAAGTGCAGCACCTGGACAGTCTGTATCGGCACATAACAAAAACACAACTGGATGATCGAGAAATCCGACCGGCTCCCTCTGCATTAAAAGCCAGGTTAGATCAGGAGTCACAACCCAAATGATAAGAAGAGCCATTTTGTCCTTTCAGCAAAAATCAAACCACCTTGGGAGCCACAACATTTAATGTCCAGCATGTCTCAGTATGTGATAATGTCCTAGTTTAGGCTAAACAATATAAACGGAAACGCGGACTTACTCTGCTCTGCTTTAAGCTTCGCCTACAGCTGCTTTCCTCCCATCTCCGACAGAAAACTTTTCCTCAAAAGTTGAATAGTTTCTTGTAAAATGTCTCTCAGCTTTCGGTTGTTTTACGAGGCTGAAGTCGCTTCTTATTCTCCAGCTTCTTGCTGAACTTTCCGGTTCCACCTTAAATTCTGACTGAGACCCCAAATGTAATTGCGGCACCATTTAAGGTGGAACAGGAAAATTAGAAAGAGAAGCAACTTCATCTTCGCAACTTTTTAGTGTTTGACAGTCTCTCGTTGCAGATTTAACGTACCAGGAAACCAACTGTGCTGCTTATAAATGCGAATAAGTCCATTCATCTCCCAATGTTCGTCTGTCTTTCTCTTTTCCTTTTTCGTGTACATGTACGTGTTTGTTTTTGGATAGCAACAATATTTATTTGTTTGTTTGTTTGTGATTGTGTATTTTGAAATGGTGTTACTTTAACTTTTACTCAAGTACATTCGCCAGGAGAGTGAATCTACGTTCTGCTTCACATTCAGCTCCTTTTACTTTTGGGTTTATTTCTGTTGTGTTGACTCAGTTCCTGTGGTGACTTGCACAAAACATCTTAAGTGAATTTCGGCTTTAAGTTTTCCCTTTTGGCCCTAAGTGAGCTCTGTAAAGTCATTTTAGCGTAATGTTTAAGTGGAAATTGAAACAGTCCATATTTGTCAAGGGAGCATTAGAAGGTCTTAGTACTTCATATTTGACAGCTGCAATATCAAAATACAAAACGTACAGCTTTAAAAGTCTCCCTTAAGCATTTAATTTCAAGTAAATACTTAAGATGTGTCATGAAAGCAGCCACAGGACTGCTTTACTGCTGCTCTCACCTCTCACTTTGGAGTTTTAGCATTTTATTTTAGACCAAAAAGGAAAAAATAGCGTCTAACAAACTGCAGTTCCTGTGCTGATAGATGCTGGATGTACTGAGGAGCTCCACAGCAGTTATACAAGCACTTGAGGAGGTTCTGGACCTCACACAGTTTGAGTCTTTAAATGGAAATTTCTCTAATATTTCAAAATGTCTTAATAATTCAGTCCTTGAGATGTAAACTGAGTCATTCAGAGTTGTTTGATGTGAAATGGTTCATTGTGGTGAAACTTAGAGACTCAGATTTCTTTACAGTGGTGGTGATAGGAACCAGGGGTCAAATTTAGCCATTTTATTTACTATCCAAAACCACTATCCAGAACTACATGTGCCTTGTGAGTTTTTGTTATGTTGATGATAGAATAGGCCTAAATCTGAAAATTCTAAGTTTTCTTTGGGGACTACTTTGCCTCACAATGCCCAGCATATCCCTCCGCCATCGCTAGATTCAAATAAACGCTTTAAAACACATTTTAGTCTGAATCTTAACTCACAAAACTATGTGTCAGAAATCAGGCAGCATATATCTAACCATTTTATGTAGGAACATACTGTGAGGGAGCTTTTGGAGGTGGACGTCTGGTTCCCATCACCAGCACTGAGAACATTTCTGAGCCTGTAAGTTTCTTAGAACGGAGCATTTCACACCAAACCACTATGAACGACTTTGTTTACATCTCAACCATTTAATTATGTAGAATTTTTGAAAAAGTGGTGGAGTTCTCCTTTAGCTTAACGTTAGGTGAGTATTGCCAGCTGCTTTCACACCTACTTTCCCTACTTTCACTGAAGTAAGCAGACTTTGAGGGTGGTTTTAGGCTAATTTACCCACCTCAGAAAACACTACAATACTACAGGTCAACTCAGCTGAATTCTATATACCCATTTTGGATATGAAGGTGCAGAAAAGCTGCTTTAAGCTTTTGGTTTACTTTTTGGTTTGTGGTTACTGTGAGAGTCAAAGTAGACTAAGGGAAGCAAGTTGCTGAAGAAGTGTTTAAGGCAGTCTGAATCAGGTTGACTCAGACAGTCAGAATGAAACCTTAGAGAGGCGCGTAGGACTGTCTCTCTGTCTTTAGCAGAAGATATGAAGATATATTAGACGTGTCCTACCTCAGGTCCAGCGTTTAAAGCGTTTGAACACCATCTTCCTCTCCGTCTCTGTCCTGTGTTGAAATACCAGAAAGCAACATGTGCAAACAGAAGGGGAGGTGTGTAAAGAGAGTGAGGAGAAGGCTGCGTCGCAAATGGCTCCCTACACCCTATGTAGTGTACTATGTAGATCAGGAAGTAGTGGCTTCTACACCCAAATAGTGCATTATATGCCTAAAACAAAGCCATTTATATTCGGCCATGAGCTGCAGGGCTCTCGATCTAACACTTAGTGCACTTGAGTGTAGAAGTCAAAGGTCTATGCAGTGCACTATGTAGGAAGTAGGGAGCAATTTGGGATGCAGCCCGAAAGAGAGCGACTTCCTCGGTGAGGAGGCTTAAAGGCAACCTGGCAGGCAGAATGTGGCTTATATAAAATAAAATCGTGTGTAATTCCACTATTAGACTGATTTCAGTGCAGAAAGTTTGCAGACAGTTACCATTTGAGACTTTGGCTAGGAGCTGCACGCTAACAATAACAGCACGGCTACTTCAGGGCTTTCTTTTTAAGTAGGCTGTTCTCTTTAAAGTCATAATTTCGCAAATTAAATATCTGCTTTTACCACTTTATACGCTACAAAAACACACAAAAAATGATATGATTTGATAGTAATGTATAAAATATGAGAAGCGCGATGTTTTTCAAGGATGCCTGTTATTGCAAGCGCCTCTGCTGCCCTCTGCTGGCTGAAGGGTAAAAACACGCCATAATATACATGGTTCACATAATGTACGTCTTTCGCCATGTTTTATGTAAGAAACAAACCATAAATATAAATAAATAAATAAGCAGCAAACAAACAAATGATTACAGTCCTGCAGTAATTAACCAATGAGCTTATATGACACAAGGGTGACTGATGAACGAAAGCTATACGTCAAAAGTAAAGGAGAATTCCACCAAATTTTCAAAGTTCATTATTATTATAACATTTTTAACATGTGAACAAAGTCATTCAGAGTGGTTTGGTGTGAAATGCTCCATTTTAGCGAAACTTACTAACTCAGGATTGCTCACAGTGGTGGTGATAGGAACCAGACGTCTGAAGAGTTTAATGCTCCCTACCACAAGATTATTATATAAAATAGTTATAAATATGTATCCTGATGCCCGAGACATTGGTTTACAATCGTTTGAAAAAAAAAAAAGCAATTGGGTGCTTATGTGGTGGAGGGATATATACAAAAAGAGATATGCAACAAAATAAATAGTCCCAGTCAGATTTACCACTATTTTATTCTTATTAATATTACAAATAAAGCTCAGAAGACGTGTAGGTTCACTGGTGGTTTTGGAGAGTAAATAACATGTCAATATTTGCATTGCAGACGTCTTGACCTCTGGTTCCTATCACGACCAGTGTTAAGAAAGCTTAATCAGTATCTCAACGACTGAATTATAAATAATTTTCAGTGATTTTGTACATGTTGAGTGTGTGCAGTCTGAGCACAGTCTAAATATATTTACATAGATATTAATTCACCAAAATGATACTATTCCTATTTACCTTATGTCATGCCAAACATCTCCTTTAATTACACAGCACACACTGATGCACTGCTATGTGTGTGCAGTTACATGTGTCAGTATATGAGTCATATGTTGGGCCATAATCCCTGAGGTTCTCTGAGGTTTCTCAATAGAAAGCGGTGTGGAGTGAGTCACCTTTAGAGGCGTGCTGGTGGCAGCACAGGAGAAAAAAAAACACCATGTGAACTTATTTTAAGTCAACACTAAATAGGTCACATCCTACCTAACACCCACTGACATCCTTGTGCGGGGAGCGGCCCAGATTCAGAGTGTCTCTGAAGAAAAAGACCAAATGAAGCTGGACAAACGTGTTCTATTTCCTTAAAGAGGCATTTTCAGCTATTTCAAGGCAACAGTATTTACACCATATACAATACACTGTATAAACAATATACCAAACTCAGTATTTCTAATGGAATAAATACAATCAATGGGTTATTAATGTCCATGGTGATTTAAAGTCCATATAGCAGTGACGAAATACATGAAATGAAAGTGCTCTGAGGTCGAGAACAACCAAGTACTGCTGAAGAGCCCCCAGGAAGTTGGAGTTGCCAGTTTATTTGGTGTTCCTGCCTTGTCTCTACACGCCTGGGCCAGTTTATCAGAAACACTTTCCATATACAGCTTTAAGTTTTAACACCCCGAGTCTAATTATGTTTCTAAGTGAAAATAAGTACTCATCCTCTAGAGCAGGCATGTCGAACTGGTGACCTTCCAGGCCAAAGTGCTGCAGAGATTAGCATTTACCCTCATCTAACACTCTAAATTCAGTTTATGAAGGCTTTGTTAATTAGCTGATGAGCTAAATCAGGTGTGTTTAATGAGGCAGTGTGCTTAAATCTGCAGTATTTTCGCCCACAAGGACTGGAGCCTGACAAAACAACAACAAACATCCTGCAAATTTTAGTGCATTATTGCTCTTAATTGTCTATTTGTTTGCTGACTTTAACATACACACACATTGTTGGTCACTTATCTTCCTGGGTTGCGGGGGCGCTGAAGTCTATCCCAGGCAGGAAACACCTGGTCACAAGTCCATCACAGGGCAGACACACAGAAATACATTCACACACACACTCACACCTCGGGGCAATTTACCATCTCCAGTTGGCCTGACTGCATGTCTTTGGACTGAGGGAGGAAACCCACGCAGACACGGGGAGAACATGCAAACTCCACACAGAAAAGACCCTGGGCACCCAGCCGGGGAACAGAACCCATGCCCTTCTTGCTGTGACAGCACTACCCACTGCGGCAACTTTTGCACAGACTTCTGTTTTATTTTCCCCAATAACTGAAATTCAGCAAATAAACAGTAATTCTGCATTAAAATGTGCAGACGTGTTCTCTGTAGAGGATGTGTTCACTTATTTTCACTTAGAAAATCAACAAAACTTCATTTGACCAGGGCGCACAAACTTTTGCAAACGACCATATAACCACTTCCAGCACCTCACGCTTGCTTCTGTTTGAATGACATCCACCTTTGTAATTTTTAAAAAACGTATTGCAAAAAAAAACATATCGTTCAAGAATCAATATTGAAATCAAGGTATCGGTATCGGCATCGATACTGACATTTTTTTTTTGCAATACCCAGCTGTAGTCTCACTGAGGTGATCGAGAAAAACAGCACAGCTGCAGTAACTGTTTGAACTTTGCTCCAATGCAGCACTCGCAGTTCCACTCATGAAGGGCTGGGCGGTTAGATATTCCATTATTTATTATAGATGTTGAAATTGGGGACAAACTGCACGGCTGCACATTCGGATCATTAAAACTTTAACACAATGGATTTCCCAGCTTGTTCATTAATCAACCAGAATTAAACTGGGCCTCATTCGCAAAAATAAAAAAAAAAATTCTTCTTTAAACCCACTTATGCAGTTTTCATGAAGATTCTGACATTCACCAGTGTTTTCTTATTTGGGATTTGTTTGTAGGTAAGAATAGAATCTACACACACTCAACAGCACGAAGGTGAGAAGTTTAAGAACACGTCATGAATCTGACGGAGACTTTTTCCTAGGACCTTTCTCAAGAACACATTTAAGAAAAAACGTAGGAAGTGAATGAGGCCCAACGGACCACTGTAGTCGTGTCGTTGCCATCCTCTTATGTCCATATTAGGTACTCCGGGTCTAAGCTCGATTTCTCTATGGCCAGAATGAATGTTTGTGATAGCTAATCACAACTGCTGCACTATTTAAGGAGGAACGGAAACATTCAAACAAGAAGCTGGAGAAAAAGAAGCTAAATTCAGCCTCGTAGTTTTAACCCTGGTAGTATTTATAATAAGGAGTTTTAGCCTATCAAAATATCATACCTAGAGGTTTTATTTACGGGTATACCTATAAATATGAGCTACGGTAGAACATTTTGATAAGGTAGTACAACTCGTCAGAACAGAACATTAGTTTCTTGTATCTTAGTGACATCAAATTGATGCGCAGTAGCTTTAGCTCGCGTGTAGCAATATTAGTATTAAGACTCTCTAATGACCTTGTAATTCTGATCCAGTGATATTCAGGAGAAAAATGTACACAGGACAAAACATATCAGGTTCTGAACATTTTTATTTAACATGGTGTGATAGAGGTGATTTTTCAAAAACCCTATTTATTCTGGCCATAGAGAAATCAAGCTTAGACCGAGTTCCTGATACGGGCATAACAAGGACTACAGAATGATGCACGACTACAGCATCTGTGAGTTCTAATAAAGTATGAGTTTGTGCCCAGATGCTAGCTTAAGAAAACAGCAAGAAAGAGAAGAAAATTAAAAATGATTTCTTGCAAATAATTTAAGTCCAAGAGCACCACAGAGGAGAGTGTGAAGGAAAAAAAGAACATAGATTTGGCTAAAGTCGTGCTTCAGTCAAAAAGACTCCCAAATAATAATAATAATAATAGTAATAATAATAATAACAATTAAAAAACATCAAACATTTTGGCTTCAGATTGATGTCATACTACAAATACAGCAAATATATCTAATCTTTATTTCCTGATGACAATAATCTTTCAGACATTTCAACTTACACTGCACACTATCACTTATCGGTCATACCTGCACAGCGTCCCCTCCTGTACAAACAATCTACCGCTCTTCCCTTCCGTCCCTTCTTTCTGATCTGTCCCCAAAGTTCTCGCTACATACAGCACACGGACGATGGCAGCGCCGTTAACTTCAATAAATACTGACGATCTGTTGACTCCCTGTGTTTCCTTTAAACGTGTCGTTCATGGGGGCGCTATGTCACCCAGTTATCTGTACGCAGCCGTTTGAGTAAAGGCCCCCCGCTGCTCTCTGCACCTGACGGTGGTCTTCCTTGTCCCGGGATGGTGGGGTGGGTGTGGTCTCTGCGCTGGTCCTCACGATCGCTCCCCTCATATGAGCTGCAGGAGGAGCTTAGGCTCTCTGCTGGAGAACGGCCCACCTCCTGTCTGGATGATGGTGGAGGCAGGGCGAGGAAGGCCATGGGGGTCCCGCGCTCTCGGGGTGGGGAAACGGGTTCAGCTTTAATATCGATGCCTGAAGAAGAGCTGGATGGCTTGGAGACCTGAGCTAGAGGACGAGAGGCTCTGTGGGGAAAAACAAAAACAATTCAATAATGGTTACCAATAAAAACATTGCCGTCCTATTGAACAGACTGACTTATCAATTCAAGATATGCCAAAACTGCAACAGTAAAATAGGCACTTTGTAGTGGACCTTGAAATATTACATGAATACTTGAAATATTCAATAATAATTTAAAATAAAAGCAAATTGTTTTATAGAAAATAACAGGCTACATTAGGTACAAGTAACAGTTAAACCAGTTTACATTTTCCTAGGAGGGAGGTTTTTAAGAAATAGACACCTGGCATCTTGCTTTTTGTGGCCACTGTCAAACACATTGTTGTTGGCAGAGGGGGGTTGAAGCGCAAATTATCTTGCAGTGCATGCTGGGGATTGTAGTGCAGCTCATGGTGAAATTGGCTAATATTAATAGAAATTTACAATAATTGCGTGGGCCACATAAGATTGTGCCATGGACCTGACTTGGCCCGTGTACCTTGTGTTGGGGGCCTAGACTGTCCAGAATTTAGTTTTTGACCACTTCAGTGCATCAAGATCACTCACCCCTGAGAACCTGGTGCTGACTGGCCCAGTTGACTGTGTTGCCATGACGACCCCGAGGCCAAAGTGAGGCCCTCTGGCAAGTTGAAGCCATTGTTAAAGTTACTGAGCTCTGAACTGTTCAGCGAAAAATCTGAAATACAACATGAAACAACTGTGTTACATAATCACCACCTATATGACATGCAGATGATTAGAGGAAAAGGAGCCAAGTGTGTTTACCTGAGTTGTAAGCAGAGGTCATGGCTGTGTATGGCAAGCCCTGGGGTGGCAGGCTGGGTGTTGCCATGGACACGACTGGCGTGGTCAATGACTGGCTAGACTGCGGGCTGTTTATCCTCTGAGATTTACATAAAATGAGGAAGAGAAAAGGTGAATAAATTACAGTGGCTAACTTACAGGAATATTCTGTGAATCTATGTTCAATGAAAAACATGTGGTTTGTTTTTTTTTTCCACTGTCAGGTGGACAGTTTCTAATCCTAAACAGAAAGTAACAACATGTTTAGGTACAATATGTCCACTAGAGGTCCTCAAGGGACCACCGCCATCCATTACTGATCATGTGACAATGCTACTCTGACGAATTATTCTAAATTTTTGCAGAATTCACGAGTTAAGATGTAAGCAAGATCATTCAGAGTGGTTTGGTGTGAAATGCTCAGTTCTAGAGAAACCGAGTCAGAATTGTTCACAGTGGTGGTGATGGGAACCAGACGTCAGAAGAGTTCAATGCTTCTAATAGCTCCCTCACAGAAAGTTATTACGTTAAATGTACATTATGAATGCACTACCTGATGCCTTAGACATTGTTTTATGATAGTTCTGAGGAGGTTTTGGCCTAAAAACAATCATAGCCAGAGGAACATGCAGAGCGTTTTAAAGCAAAACAGTCCCGAAAGCAAACTTATTTCTTCAGATTTCCCTGTATTTGACCAAAAATAGCATCACATATAAAATTTCAGAACACATGTAGGTTCGCTGATCGTTTTGGATGGTAAATAAAATGCTTATATTTGTGTTGTAGACATCGTGACCCCTGGTTCCTCTCACCACCACTGTAAAATCTTTGTCTACAATAAACCATTTCACATCAAACCACTCTGAATGACTTACATCTCAACAATTAAAGTATTCGGATTTCAAAATTGGTGGAATTCCCCTTTAAAAAGCATATTTTTAAGCAGAAAAGTACCTCATTGTTATGTATATTCAGTCTAGAGGTGGACACGTTATTTTTCACAATACATGATGTCACAATATATATCTGATCAGCTGCAACTATGAAAAAAGAACAAGTAGTGCTACATTTTACAAAATACTATCAAAAGCTGTAAATACAATGATTTTTATTCAATATTTGGCACACTGTGTTGCACAAAATCCAATTCAACTGGATTAATTTTGCTCTCTTTATAATGAAACATGCAGTTGGTCAATGTTCTACAAGCACTGACGATATATATGATATGTTCAGAAAAGCATACCATTTATTTATCACTACAACATTGTCACATTGCCCAGCCCTAGTTCAGTCATTCACAGCCAACATAAACACTGAAACACATTAAGCCTTTTCCTAGCACTGGTCTTGATGTTCAGTCTCTACAAAGTTCTGTTTTTTTCTGATCTAATACACAGAAATCAGCTGATCTGTTAATTATCAAGCCATGAGCTTAGTCAGCTGTGTGCTTTAGACATAACAAGCGTTACAATGCGGAAATTATCTAAAGCAAAGACGTAAATTATTGTCAGTAATGTTTCAACTTACCAAATCTCCCACTCCCTCCTCCGGCTGCATGCAAGAGATAGACTTTTGAGGCAGCAACTCTGTGACACTATCATTCTCCACACTTATTTTGGCGTTTGGATGTGTAGTGAGCAGCTTATTAAAGCCTTAAATTCCTACACTGTTGTAACACAACTCATCAGGGCCTACACTTTAATCCCTCACTCTCATTACTACATAACTCACACATTAGCTTAATAGTAACTGCTGAATCATTTATAACCGATACTAAAAGTTAAGCTTTAAAGGGCCCATATAATGTAAAACTGAAACTTTGTTGGAGGTGTTTCAAATCTCTGAATACTCCTGTTTATATTTGGAAATGTAGCAGCAGAAACAGCCGTGTTCTTGTGATATCGCGAAAACCAACACATTTACAAATATCCGCCTATTCCGCCTGCAGCAGCTTAGCCCGGCCTATTCACGTTGAAGTTATGAGAAGTATTTCAGCCTGCACTGCTTTTTGAATGAGACCCAATAAAAGGCAGGCAATCCGAGCAGAGCTCATTTACATATATTAAAGCAACAAGCCACAAGAGGCTGTGTGTTACTGTGTTTTTATCATTGAAAGTGTGTTCTTACCCACGATGTGAAGCTTTTATAAAACGGCAACCAACAGAAAATATGATAAAATACACAACTTTTCAGCAAATAATTTGAGTTATTATTAATAATAATCAACATAAACAAGTATTCCGGCAAGAAATGTAGTTCCTTTGGAGTATGGCGACATTGCCAAGGAACCATGTACTGCTAAATGAGGAGAACTTTCGGTCCCCCATCGCTGTATGTAAAAAATCATTTCATGATTTTTTTTTTACTTTTTGTCGTATAACGAACATATGATAACACATCCCTGTTTAATGCAAACACTTTCGCTTTATTAGTACTTTTTGTTCACCAAATTACCAACACGAGTCTTATTCAGAACCAATCCAGCAGCGCCCCTCTTCTCGTGCTAGGGCTGAATCTCAAATGGCTCCCTGCTCCCTAAATAGTGCACTACGTAAGAATTTAAATACTGGGTCCTGCAGCCCAACAGTGCAAATTATAGCTAAGAAATAGTCATTTGGGATTCAGCCATAACCATACTCGATAAATGAGGCACTATTTGGCTGTAGAGACTAGAATTTCTAAACTTTAATAGCTAGCATACTATTTAGAGAACACAGAGCCGTTTGGGATTCAGCCTGGGTTTGACGCTGACCGAAACAGACATTTGAAACGTGTGAAACATTCAAGTACATTTTTCCGACTTTTATACTGCAGTTTTACAGTTAATTATACCGCAAGTACTTTAATTCAGCCCTGTGATATTAATGATGGAGTTGTTTAGCCTGTTAGCTAGCTGGCCAGCCTAGTTCTAGTTAAGAACTTAAGTTGCCAGCCCCTCAGTTTAAACAAAAAACAGATTCTTACTTCATCAATATACCTGGTGGTCCATGAGAGTCAAAGATTATTCAGTTAACAGCACAAGGACTTTTTCATGCCATGGAGTAAGGCACAATTCAGTTGTTGTGAGGCGGTCACAGGTTTGCGTATTATGTTGATTTTACTACAGCTTTGAATGCGGCCAATCAGATTTTAGCACTGGAACAATCCGATTTATAACAGTCTTAAAGGCACAATAGCAAAAACAGCCTGTTTACTTCTAAGGAATAAAGAAATATTGGAAAATTGGTCATGTTAAAAAAAATGTTAACAGAACAATAAGCCTGCAGTTTAAGGAGTGGCATTTTTGCTACTATACTGTCTGTTCATTTTTTGGCATATTTTAGCTGATTAATAATCACTATGGCTCATTACTGAGGCAGCTTAACAGTTACATGTATCCAAAACTGTATGTAAAGTACTGACTTTGCTTATTGTGCTGATTTTATGACTGTAACCAGTAACAATTTTGTATTTTCTATTCTTTGCTGGGCGGCACGGTGGCGCAGTGGTTAGCGCTGTTGCCTCACAGCAAGAATGGCCTGGGTTCGATTCCCGGCCGGGCGACCAGGGTCCTTTCTGTGTGGAGTTTGCCTGTTCTCCCCGTGTCTGCGTGGGTTTCCTCCGGGTACTCCGGTTTCCTCCCACAGTCCAAAAACATGCAGTCAGGCTGATTGGACATGCTAAATTGCCCCTAGGTGTGAGTGTGTGTGTGATTGTGTATGTCTGTCTGTCTGCCCTGCGATGGACTGGCGACCTGTCCAGGGTGTATCCTGCCTTCCGCCCATTGACAGCTGGGATAGGCTCCAGCACCCCACCGCGACCCAGAAGGATAAGCGGTTTAGAAGATGTATGTATTCTTTGCTTGTTTGCTTGGGTTGTTAGATTGCTATTGTTGTTAAATGTTTGTATGTTATGTAAAAATTAATTAAAAACTAGAAAAGTAGGATGAGTCACAATTCAGAGATGATCTGTGGTGATTTACTGTAGTAAGTAAGGTATAAATTAGCAGATTGAGTGGAGCACAGTTACTGTTCTACAGCGATCTCACCAGGGCCGGCACGTTGCCTTTACAGGCCGGTGGGATGAGCACCCGCAGCTCTGGTTTGAGGCCCACAGGTACGAGGCTGCCTGCAGGGGGCGCTGGAGATTTGGTCTGCAATCCCCTCCCCATGTTGTTCTCTCCCTGAGCGCCAACAAAGCCGTTCACTGGAAGGGTGACACACAAAGAAAACACTTTAGAGCAGCGGAACAGTGATTTCAAACTTCACATGACAGCCAAGTGAAGTGTAAAATCTCCCCAACAGAATGTGAGGGAAGATGTGACGGTCAAGGTTACATTAGCCGGTTCGTGTTTTGAGGCATGTTCTGCTGTAGATGAATGGAATGAGGTGAAGAGGTGGAGTTAAACAGTGTGGCATTACTGGATCAGAAACAGAGCTAAACGTCTCTCCTTCTACCTGACTGAGTCTGTGCTTAAAGAAATCACCTCGTTCTGAGAGCCGGAGAACGTCAACTCACATCTACATCAGCCACAGGGATTAGAACACTCATGCACATTTACTCTCTCTATGTCTGTGTATGTCTCTCTCCCTCTCCCAATCTCTCTCTCTCTCTCTGTCCCCATCTCTGTTTGTTTTCCCTTTCTTCCTGTCTCTCTCCCTCTTTCTCTATCTGTTTCTCTTTTTATCTCTCTTTCTGCCATTTTCCTTTCTCAATGTCTCTCTTTCTCTCTTTGTTTGTCTCTCTCCCTGTCTCTTTTTCTCAATTTCTCTTTTAATCTCTCTCCCTTTCTGTCTAATTCTCCTCCTGTCTCTGTTTTTCTCTTTCTATCTCTCTGTTTTTATCTCTCTCCCTTGCTGTCTATTTCTCTCTCCCTCTGTCTCTCTCTCTCTCTGTTTCTCTTTTAATCTCTCTTTCTGTCTATTGCTCTATTCCTCTCTCTCTCTTTCTCTTTTTCTCTTTCTGTCTCCCTGTTCCTTTCTCCCACAGTCACATTTTCCTTACTCTCTCTCCCCATCTCTCTCTCTCCTCTCACTGTAACCTCCATAATAATTCTCTTGTTTTTAAGCAAGAGAATTATTATATCCACCTCAAGCATTTCATGGCTTGTTGTCTGATATCTGAGATGTTGTTCTTACATTTTTACATGTTTTGTTGATTTTCTAAGGGAACACAGGTTAACACAGCCTCTACAAAGAACACACTTGACTATATCTGTTTTTCTGCAAATTTTAGAGCAAAATTTCAATTTTCTGCTGAGTTTAAAATACAGGAAAACAAAACATAAATATAATATGGTGAGCAGTTAGATCATGCAGTAGATTGTTTTGAGGTAAATGTGTCCCCAATTTTGAAACTCAGTGGGCAACATTAAGAATTGCCACTACTGAAATATATTTTCTGCAGTTAAGCACACCTTTTTGTGTTTTTATGAAAAATTAATGATTAATGAAAAATAATGATTTTATGTGTATACAACTGTTCAAAGCTGTGTTTGCACAGTCATCGCTGAAAAATTTGGCAGTTTTGGTCGTGCTATGATTGTTCTGGGAGTCACAAAATGAATGCAAACAAAATTATGATATAAGTCACTTAAGGCAAACAGATTTTAATCTAAAGTCCAAGTAATTTAAAAGTCCAGAATGTATTTTCACCTCTGACTTTGACTGAATTCAGTAGAATGATCTTTATTAAGTCTTGTGACTTTCTTTTTGGGGACTCACCTATTGAGCTGGTGTGTACACCGTTGAGCGTGGAGTCTGATGAACCCTGTAAACCACCTAAACACAAACATACAACCAAATATCATAAAATAATTACTCTCTCCTCTAAGAACGTGCAGCTTTATAAAAGAATATATAGGCTATTACATATTTCAGCTTAGCACTGTAGATTTAACACTGGTGAGAAAGCACACAGAAGGTGAAGTGCTTGTGTAACGGACCTGCTAACCCAGTGCTGGGCGATGTGTGCAGCGTACTGGAGGACAGGGACAGCATGGCCGCTTCACTCAGGGACACTGTGGCTGAGGGCAGGGCCGGAGTGGCCAGTGAGCTCGCTGTGCTGTAGGAGAGGGCGCTGGGGTCAGCCACGGGGATGGCCACAGGCAGTGTGAAGCTCTGCTGGGACAGGACAGCCGGCTACAGTCAGAAACACAAACATGGAGGCATTCAGAACAGCTGAAATAAGGATTACTTAGAAGAATAATAGAAGGGTTTCATAAATATAACACGATACGATCTAGTATTGTGATTATATTGCTACATATTTTAATTGTGATACAAGCAACATGAAAAACACAATGAAGAATGTGATATGCAGTCTTTGGTACAAATAGACTTGCCCTGTTTCACTGGATTACATGAATACCTTAATTCACGAAAAAGCACTCATCTGGACCTGTGACTATAAAAAACACAGGTTGGTTAGAGGACTTGTTTACATACTGCAGCTGTCTGCGATTACTGCAAAGGTTACTACTGTGATAATGATGTATTGTAGGCTAGTTTGAACGTAAACGGCCACTACATTCAAGTTTACGAGCTACTAGAATTTTACTGGTTGCACCAAGTAACATAGTTTCAATGTAACTTTAAGTTATACTTTAAAATGTACACATACCCTATAGCAGCTGTAAGTTCTGCCATAAAAATCAGTTAAAATGACTGGTCAATTTGATCAACGGGAAAACTTGCAAGAAAACGGAATACGTCTCGGTTTGCGTTGGCAACCGCTTCTACAAGATAGATTACACCTGTTTTCATCAACTGAAGACAGAAAAGATCACAGACCTCCCAGCCGCAGATTTGCAACACAACACAGGCAGGAACGGAACCTCAAGTCCTACCTTATAAGTGTGTCTGGCATAGAGATATTTTGCTACAGGGTAATTCTAAAACCTGGTGGGCGACTCTGTTCACGTACACAGATCATCTGCATGCAGAGCAATAAGAGCAGCTCCATCAGTCCTCAGAGTAACAAACATAGCTAACATCACCTTTCTGTCAGTCAGCTGATTGAAGTAGTGATTAGCCGCAGCTTCGCTAACGTTACCAACTGTTCATTGATAAAGTGCCGTTAAAATATTGTACACAAGAAACCAGTTTGAAATTCGGAAGCGGAAACCAGCAGCAGAACAGAATAAACACACATACAAAAGACGGACACTTTGAAAACACAACTTTATTGTAAATTACAATCTCGTTTTTGAATTATAGTTACTATGACTGACACAGCTTAAGCAAAGTAAACGTGGCATGAAAAGAGAGAAATGCGAGCCATTTCACTGCATGTAATGTTTCCTGTTTATGTCGGGCAGCGTTACTGATTGGCTGCAGAGTGAAAACATCATTGTGTGCGACAGTGTTTCAAGCTACGGTCACTTCATGCACTACTAGTCAAGATGTACCGTAACTGTCTGTGGTGCAACTGAAATTCTGTGTTTCACTAGTTTTAAACTAACTACTCTCAACGTAATGTTTAGGATCTTACGATCAAACTTGCGTTCAGCTGGGGCAACTGACTGCTGGTTATTAATAGGCAATTTAACTGATTTTATCTTATTAGTGCTTTCTGCTAGGGCCTGATGATATGAACATTTTGTGGTCGATACTGATAAAGATTTTAAAGGACTACAATTCTGACACCTGATATAATTTTATATTTACATTTTAGATTGTAATTTTAGACTCCAACAGTTTTAGTTCAACAGTGCGTTACTGACACATATATGACACTCAACTCTAGGTTCTTAATAAAGTACGCCATGTGCATTACAGTGAATTTATCACAGGCACAACGCGAAGCGGATTAAAACCCCCTTAACTCACTATTTAGGGAGGACACAGCCATTTGAGGTTAAACTGGGTTTGATGCTACTTTGCTAGCTGATCTGTCAAGTTCTAGTCAAGAGCATAAGTTGTCAACCTCTCAGTTTAAACAAAAACTGGGTTTTTACAGCACACATCTATTTTATAAACTAAAATAAACACAAGTCAGGTCCAAAGCCACACACTGCTACACTATACATACTATACTAATGATGCACATCTAATGTTAGTGTACTATTTTTCACATGCTATTTAGTACAGTGGTGTGTTTTTTGGATGCAGCCACAGTTTTGACTGAAATAAATATTGCGGCAATGGGGGTGGAGCTACCCAGAATTCTTTGTGGTTCTGTTTTTGTTAATTACTCTTTTAATTGCATTGTTTTTCCTTAATAGTAAATAGTAAAAGTTCTCTTAATAAAAATGTATTACTTCAAGCATTATAATGCATTATTTTTGAGCTAAAAATTGGTGGCCACGTATCATAAGTTAAATGCTTCAGGGATAAATCTGAAGCTGTACGTTTTAATTTCCATTTTACAAACGTCAAAAAACTGAAGTGCTGGAACATAAATTTAAGGCCTTCAACTCTATTCATTATTAGGATTTTTTTCACTTTGCATTTCACATTTTCCTGAACAGATAAAGGGGTGGGGTCGTGGTGGTGATGGTGTTGGTGATGGTGTTGGTGATGGTGTTGGTGATGGTGGTGGTGGTGGAGAGTTGTTCCACTTATAGCAAAACAACTCGCCTCTTAAAGGTGCAAACACCCACCTATAAGCGAGGTGGAGGCCAATGAAGTGGCAGAAATTTCATGGCGGCATCTGGGGTGGCCAATCAGATTTCAGAGGAGGGCACTGGCCAGTCCAACCACTCCTTTAAAACTGTGCATGCCAATATCGGCCAACATTACTGGCTAGCCGATATATCGGTTTGATTCTCATATCTACGGTCTACATGATCTGTAAGTTACATTTAAAGAAATGTAAATGGAAAAGTTGTGTGGATGAAGAATAACTAAAAGTAAAAACATAATGTCTTAAATACAACTTACAATTTTATGATTTCTCATCATGTTGTCAAACTCCTCATTGATCTTCTGGTATTTCTCCTCAGTGTGTGGAGTGAGGACGTAGGAGGATGTGTCCGGATCTGGGCTCTCGCAGCCTCGCTGCTCTTTCTTATTTAGGGCCTGGAAAAGAAACAGCAAAGGACAAAACAGCCAGAGTGAATCAGACAAAGAGAAGAAAAGACACTAAAATCCTCTCTACGGTTATATAAAAAAAATGAGCCTTTATCAGGAAAAGATTCAATGCATGATTTCAACATAATTTCCATTTGATGAAACTGAAAGCCATTACTTTGGTACAATTTAACTGAATTGCTTTTAAAAACACACTAGATGCACAGGTCATGGAGGTCATTTCATAATTTGAAAGTGGTCAAATAATTTTATTTTACTACTATATTGAATATTATTGTAAGTGACTAAACACCTTCAGATCAATGCATTTTTACACTCCTACTCAGGATATATTTCAGGAGAGCACTACCTGGACAATAGGACTTGGATGCCTAACATAGGCAATATGTACATTACTGTGGAAAGATATAATTTCCAGTCAAATTGAGGGTGAAGATGTGGAAATAGTGGACAAGTTTTGTCTACTCGGATCAGTTATAAACAGCAGAGGATCCAGCGCTCTAGAAACACAACACAGAAGGCACTCAGCAGAACAAGGATGAAGGAGCTTGAAAAGATCTTCAAATGCAACAATTTGTCTCTACAAAGGTCAGAACTGTCCAGGCTGTGGTCCTCTCTGTGGTTCTTTATGGATGTGAAAGCTGGACAATAAACAAGTGAGACAGGAGAAATATTAATGCCTTTAAACTTTGGTGTTGGCAAAGACTTTTGAAAGTTCTTTGGACAGCAAAGAAAACAAACAAATGGAACCCCAAACAAATTGAGCCTCACCTCCCAACTCGAAGCTGAGACAACCAAACTGACGCTCTTATTATGGACATATTCTGAGAAGAACCGATTCATCGGAAAAGAATGTTACGCTTGGAAGTGCTGAAGGTAAAAGAGGGATGGATACAATCAGAGGAATTTATATATATATATATATATATATATATATGGAAAATGGAAGCTGTAAGAAAGGTACATATATGTACCTTTATTACAGCTTCCATTTTCCATTTTTTTCCATGAGATTTGCTTTCAGTTTTTTAAAGAAATCTACAGGGATATTTTTCCACACCTTTAAAGTTCAGTCTTAGAAGTTGGTTGCATTGTCTCACAATCAAAGTAATCTAGTAATGTTGAGGTCTGGACTCTGGGGTGGTCAGTCCATTGTTCTGACAACACCAGCAGCTTCTTTGTTTGATGTGTCTGTTTCCTTTTCTCAGTAAGAGCTTCTTGACAGCTACACATCCTTTCAGACCCATAGCGCTGAGCTGTCTTCTCACAGTGGAAGAATGGAAAGATACACCTGTGGATTTTTCCAATTCTGAAGAGAGCTTGATTTTCTCTCCAAGATAAAAGCCCTGATTGTGACATTTTAATAACTTTAAAACAACAGTGAAAAAATGAAAAAAAACTCCAGTCTTGGAATTCTTCTCCTCTTAGTTTCCTTTGACTTTTCTGTAGTGGATTATCTTAAAACTAATTTCCTCAGAATTATCTCCTGAAAAATGAACAGCTTGTAATTAATAGTCATATTTCACTGAACATTAAATGAAGGGTGGTCTCTGAGTTTTGCACAGTACTTTGACTGGAGGAATCATGTGCTGTGTGTAAATCTCTAGCAGTAAATTGAATAAATAAACAGATGTAGTGCGATGTGTAACGCCTGCCCAGTCCGTAAGTGATTCAGATTTTTCAAAATGCCCCATTAGCAGTGGGCAAACACGGGCAGGCTCTGCCAGGCGCGCTCGCCAGGTCCTTGACAGATAGCATCTCAAGTTTCTGTGTGTGTGTTTTGGACAGCGCCTTGGCTGTATTTTTAGCTCCAACCCGTTAGCTGCACTTCCTCCCCATGTGTTCATCAACACATGGCTACAGTAAGAAAGGCCTGCGTCACTCCATGTGAACTATCCGCTCTTCCTGGTTCCAGATCCTACAAAATGCTGCAATAAGGACATATCGATTTTGGGCTGGCAGCCTGCCAGGTTTTCAGAGAGCAGAAATAATCTCCTTGTCCAGCCAAAAAAACCCTATGACCAGGCCGGTCACAAATATTACACAATCGTCTGGTCACAATTATTTGAGCTAACCAGTTATTTTCCACAGTTGCTGGCTTTCACAATCACATGTTTACTTCACAAAAAATGTGAACTGAGGGCATTTTCTTCTGCTGGACTGAGGCAAATACTGTCATATGCAAAGGTTTGGGTGCCCCTATGATTTTCTAAGTGAAAATAAGTGAACACATTCTCTACAGAGATCACACTTCTGCTCATTTTAATGCACAATTACGGTTTATTAACTGAATTTAAAATATTGGAAAAAATACAGCACAAAATGTGGCCTGTGCAAAAGGCACATATTATATTTAATTTTTCTCCAATTTATTAAAATCAATACATAGAAATTGAGCACTAAGTAAATAGAAATTGTGCACTAAAATTGTAGAAAAATGTCCTATTTAAGTGCGTTCCCTGGAGAGGATGTGTAAACTTACTTTCACTGAGAAAATCAACATCAACGTGTAATCTGTAATGTAAAATAAAATAAAGCAGAAACATATTTACTGTGAGACATCATGAGTCTTATGAAAACATCTTGCACATTTACATTACAAAATGATGATATTCATTATTATGCACAGCCTATGTTAAATACACGTACACACGTACATATTACATTCAGTGTGGTGGGATGAACTTTGTAGAGCAGCAACTACAAGCAAAGACAAACTGGTACTAGACGAGACAATTTGCTAATAGCTAATGGCTAATAGCAAATGGAGCAAATGTGAAGGTCAGGATGGCCACAGCAATCTGAGAACATGCTACTAGCTTGACTGAGTGACTGAACTGTAATTACTGAAAGCATGACCAAATGGGGAACGGACTGCACACCAAATATATCGCAGCATCAGCAAAAGCAGTCTGCATTCCCAGACACTATAGTCCTGCCTGCTTTATTCTAATCTATTTACAGTCAATTCACAGCTCTATTCATATCATATTCAATTACATGTTTGAAAAAACAGAGACAGCCATGCTGGAAATGCATCAAGTCCACTGTCCACCTCTTTTTATATGGCAGCTACATCCCTGTTTGTGATTCTGTTTTGTTCATCTGTACATTGAACATATTAGCCTACAGTAATCCTCCCTTCAGTTTCTTTGACGTCATATTTCAAAAGCAGGAGCTACTACAAAACATGCTGGCTGATCTAATTGGCCAATATTAAAGGGACACTCCAGATAAAATGAAAAAAGTAACAACTGCTCAATCTGTTGTAAACATACCTATGTGCCTCCTAGAGTAGTGCTACATTAGTTTCCCCTTCTGATGATGTATCTTGAAGGTAGGAAGAAGCCATGTAACTGCAGTTACAAGTCAACATCTCCAAATCAACATTACAGTGCAGAGAATGGACTACAGCAACAGAAAAGACTGTCAAATGAGGCGAAGCTAAAAGCCAAAGTAAAAGCTATATAGAGGCCTTACCTCAGTTTTCTCTGGCTAAAACATGAAAAAACTTGTCTCCGACATTCATTGTGTGCTGAGTAAAGGTAGAATCATGTCACAATTTTGTTTACTTTGGTAAGAGTTACACCAATGCTAGTGTGGTTATTTTTATTAGCTAGTACATTTATGGCATTTGACAGGCACTTTTATATGGAGCGACATACAATGATGTAGCAGACAGTAGCATTAGGAATTTTGCTCAAGGACAGTGACTGGTAAAGCATGGTTTGCATGCCCAGGCAAAGAATCAAATCCCAGTCTACCCTGTGAAGGGCAGCAATATTATCCACTACGCTACACCATCTATAACAGCTTATTAATTTAGATAGCTAGGCTAGCAGTCAGGATTGGTTGACACCACAGGGATTCCTAATAGCTGCATGATGTATGTACTGTAGTAAGAGAACATATAAAGCTGCGCTACAGAATACTGCATAACACAAATAGCATATTATACTCTTGTTTTAGGCTGGGAAAAAGAATTCTGGGAAGCACTACTCCCAGCACTACAATACAGCAGACTTTAAGGAAATCTGCAACTGACAATTATTGGTCTTTTTTATTTTGGATCATTTGAGAATATATTGGCCTATATTATTACGTTTAGCCTGCTAAACTTGGCATTGGTGATGACATTTTCATTCTGTTTGGGTCCTAAAAGCAGTGGACATTAAATCAAACTTCATTGCTCCATGTCAAATGCAGCTCTTTACCTCCACAATGTCTGAGTTGGTCCTGCTCTCGTGAGGCTCGTTGTACTCGGTGTATTTCAGCAAGACCTTGTCCATGTCTGTGCTTGCGTACTGGAAGAGCTTATTGGAGCTGTTGAAGATAATGAGGGCTATCTCACAGTCACACAGCACACTCAGCTCATAGGCCTTCTTCATCAGGCCAAACTTCCTCTTGTTGAAGGTTACCTAGAAATCAGACCACATGAGAAATATAAGAGGAAAGAAAAATGTAACGCAAGCTTAAACACAAACACATGGCAAAGAGGTTTTAGCTTAACTTAACCATTTACCATGCTGTGTGTGCTCCTTAGTTTGGCCAAAAATCTAATTCACACAACTTTCCTCTTTCACCTACCTAAGTAGTCAATCAGCCAAGACATGTTTGGTGTCTCAAGAGTTCTTCTTTAGTTTTGCACTGGAGCTACAAGACTAATGTAGCTAGCAAGTAACAGACATTATGTACACCAGTTAGTATAAGTTAGCATTTGTCTTGTGTTTTATTGTTTTATGGATAAAAGACAGTTCCAAAAAGCACATAAGCAAGTCTGCTCAACAACTCAACACGTTTAAGGCAATTTAGTCATGCAGTTTTCGCAACGCTAACTATGCTTGTTAGCTACATTAGCCTCATAGCTCCAGTGCAAAACTGAAGGAGCAAACTTCAGAGGATCATTAGCCAATTGACATTTGAGGTAAAGGGGCCAAATTGTTGATTAAAATTACTACTATATGTGTGTATGCAAACGTGTTGTGTTCTAGATCAAGTTCTAGGTGTGTGTGTATGCAAATGTGTTGTGTCCCAGACCTAGTTCTAGGTGTTCTAGACTCTGAGATCCATGTTATTGGTACAATTTCCTGCCCTTTGAGATAACAAGACTGTAATGGCCTCATTAGGATGGTCAAGAGAACACAGTTCTCTTCTTCTGTTCATGACAGTGTGACAGAGCCCAGCTGTCAGGGTTGCCAGATCTCATCATGTTCCCTGCCAATTATCACCCCTCCCTGAGGAATCCCAAACCTTCCACCACTTCACTGCTGAGCACCAGGCTGCAGAGAGGAACATTATCCGGGGACATTATCATCTGAGCAGGCCTGGTGCTCAGCAGCAGCCTCATTTAAAAACCAGCTACAAATCACTAGTTTATGAATACAAGATTTGGAGGGTGGCCATAACCACATTGATAAAAGTGAAAGAGGGTGCATTCCACAAAATTTTCTAAATGTCTGCATAAATAAATAGAAATAAACAAAGTCATTCAGAGTGGTTTGATGTGAAATGCTTTGTTCTACTGAATTGTTCAAAGTGGGGGTGATAGGAACCAGACGTCTGAAGAGTTTAATGCCTCTAAAAGCTCCATCACAGAAAGTTATTACATGAAATGGTTATGAATACATTGTCTGATGCATGAAACATTGTTTCATAATAGTTTTCAAATTTGAAATAATGAACTTATAACTGAATATGTTTTAGCTTAAAACATACATTTTTTAATACTTTCATGGCGGAAAGATACATGCAGGTGTTTCAAGGCAAATTAGTATAAATCAGACCACAAAGCAGAAAAGACTGCTTTCGTTGCTGTCAGAACAAAAACTTGTATCTCCATTTTTATTAAAACTCATAAGACGTGTAGGTTCAGTGGTGGTTTATATAGTAATTAAAACTGCTATATTTGTGTTGTGGACATTGTGACCCCTGGTTCCACCACCTTTGTAAAGAAATCTGAGTCTGTAAGTTTCTCTACAATGAACCTTTTCACATCAAACCACTCTGAATGAGTCTGTTTACATCTTAACCACTGAATTATACATCATTTTAAAAAATCAGTGGAATTTCTCTTTAATAAACAATATCACACCAGAGTTATTTTGTCCAGCAGTTTACTTGCTTATGGCAGTAATTTTGTCGATGCAATATACTTTCTTCATACAAGTAAGGGATCTCTAGTACAGTTCATGCTATTTGAAATTCTTCTACTCAGCATTTCGAGGATACTTCAGTAACGTTTGATTTTGATGTCAAGGGACTGTGGATCTGCTGAGTGTAATGTTGCAGAGGGATGAACATAATTGCATCATTTTCACAGAGAATCATACAAGATTTTGGCCAATAGCATAATATAATGTACTAACACAATAAGAAAACTCTACATGGCTACATGTAATTCTTAAATGCATTTCACTGCATCTAATCTCGTAATGAACCAAGTTTGTATGGCTCAAGATACAGCATAAATCCTTAATGCCACAATCTAAAGTCTGTAATCTGGCATTATGACAATGTGTATGAAAGTAACGTCAGGCTCAGCGATAGAAATGAACCCTCACCTGCGAGCAGCCTATGTGCAAATGTTAAATAATTTCAATAAAAAGGGCACAGTGTGTACTGAGCGCATAATATAGCAAACAAGAACTCTTCCAGACAAGATATGGTTTGTTGTGCTGGTGCGAGAGTTTATATTTAGAGCATGGGGCAGACTGCGCGAATTCCAGCCTAGCTCTGCGGCTTCAGCTTGAGTGATGGCCATCAGGGGTTAGAAAGAGAGAGAGACTGGCTCCTCAGACTGGCTCTGCTGGCTAACAAGAGATACAGAGCTCTAGACTCCTCTAATTACTGCAACCACACCACAGGGACAGCAGGTCCAGTGAGACGCAGGACAAGCGCCCCAGTGTGTGGCCGCTGAGTCTCCTCCCAGAGCCACATACACACAGTCTAACTCACAACCTCATCAACCAACAAGGCAGAAAGAGTGGTTAGTGATCATGAATCTAACATAGCAGCATATATGGCTATGCTAGATTTTAGTTGCGGGAAGGTGTTTTTAGTTGAGGGTGCTGACATTTTAAGCAGCATATACATGACGTGAACGATGACTTCATGTAAAATGATTTCCTTTTTTTCCATTTGAATTTCTTTGGTAATTGACATTGTGCAATAATGCAGCATAATGTGCGACAATCTACACATGTAACTGAACATCAAACCGCTGACGCACAGCCTGATTTCTCTACTCTCTCTCATTCTGGATTAACTTTATACAAATGAAATGAGGGGCAACCAATCAGATTGCTGATGTGTGGTGTGGTCAAAGACTGATATTCAACATTTCAATGCACATACTATTCGAAATTCTTGTGCTTTCAGGAGGAGATATAAGATGGGACATTATTATGTTATAATATACATTATAACCTATGCTAGGCTGCTTTAGGGCTCAACCTTTTTCCAACCTGCTTGTATTTTAGCGACATGCCCCTAATAGCTCAATTGGAATATGTCCATGTTTACACCTCAATCGGAATAGACTAGTCCGATTGAGGCCATTTCAAATACAATTTCTATCCGATTGAACGAGGTGGGTAATCCTGTAAATAATCTGTTAAACAGAAGAATAATAACCATGTAAACTCCTGTATCTGATTACATTGCCATTCGGAACGTTTAGGTACGTTCTGTGCGTGTGCATTTGCATCATAATGGAAGTTTATGACGTTCAGCCAGAAACTGGTCTGCACATGGGACAAAGTTTATGCTTCAAATGTTAGAAGACATAAAAATAGTTAACAGGATGTATCAGCAATAATGCAATAACGAGCTGTTCAGACAAGTATATGAGCAAATGAACGTCGTCTCACTCTGACTGGACTAGATGCTCATTGATCATTTTACATGTAAATACAGCCAAAATCACAGCACAGCTGCAGTCTTTAAATTATGTGTAAGATGATTTTGTTAGAGACTGTCACGGTTACAAAATCAGAATTTCAGCGGTGCAGAGTAGCTGCTTGGAAATGGCTTGGAAGAGACTGCTGGTTAACATGTAGTCTTAATGGGCTGCATTTCAGTCGGTATGCGATATTCGTCCCATCATGTGATAACAAAAGAATTTGTACATAAGAACAGCTCTATTGGAATTTCAGATGTATTATAATACAGCATATGTGAGCACAGAGAGTCAGAGAGAAGCGGCCAGATGTAAAGGGCTGACACCATTTGACACTAGGCAGAATGCAGAAAGCAAATATTTAGGGCATCATCTAGCAACATTTAGTGGCTTTTTGCACAGCCTTTAGCTACTTTCCATTGAAAATAGTTTGCAACAGTGTGCCAGACACAGCCCACGGACGTTTGGCCACTTCATGTTGGTCAGTCTCATCTACAGACAGATCATGAATACAGTGTTATCACGTTAGATTTCCCCACTTTTTCAAGACAACACTGCTGATATTGTAGGCTATAGTTTAAAGCACAGCCCTTACTATTCAAAAATGGCACTCTTTAAAATTGAGTTTTAATATTTCAATGTTAAAAATGTTCTCATGTAATATGCGATGGACATGTATGGCCACTAGGTTAGCATCATATTACTGAAAACCTAACTTATCAAACTTGCCGCAACCAGTAAGTCATGCAGCATCAGAAACAACATAAGCGACTCAATTAGAGATAACTGAATAATGTAACCCCTTCAAATCCCAGACTTACTACGGCTTATTATTCAGTAACTACACAGACTTCAATGCAAACTGGGTGAGCTATGATCAGGATATAGAAGTGTGCAATTAGGGGATCCTGAGTGGCGCAACCGTCTAACCGTTGGTCGTATCATCAGGAGATCGCAAGTTCGATCCCTGGTGATGCTACAGCCATCTGTGGGTGGGAGTCCAAGAGAGCACAATTGGCCTCGCTCTCTGGATGGGTAGGATGGCACCCCAGAATTTTAGCGGTGCAGACTAGCTGTTTGGAAATGGCTTGGAAGCGCCGTTGGTTCACATGTTGTCTTAAAGAGCCGCGTTTCTGTCTCTATTTCATACTTGTCCCGTTGTCTCATAACAGAAACAGAAAATTATGTACATGAGAACAGCTCTATTAGGATTTTGGCTGTTTTAAAACACATTATTTGTGAGCACAAAAAGCAAGAGAGAAGCAACCAGATGTAAAGGGCTGACACCATCTGACACTAGGCAGAATGCAAATATGATGTGATGACATCACAGATATTTAGAGCATCATCTAGCAACATTTAGCGACTTTTTGTACAGTCTTTAGCTACTTTCCACTGAAAATAATTTGCAACAGTGTGCCAGACACAGCCCACGGACGTTTGGCCACTTCATGTTGGTCAGTCTCATCTACAGACAGTTCAGTAATACAGAGTTATTGGGTTAGATTTCCCCACTTTAAAGTTTTTAAGACAACACTGTCGATAATGCTGTTCAATGACATTGCATGAGTGGCAGTTCGAAAAGATGCAATGGCTCAGAGGAAGCCTGTGCTAGCCTTCGCCCTCCTAGCGCTGGTGGTAATGTGTGGTTGGAGGAGTCCTAACTAGTGGGTGGAATTGGATATGACTAACTTGGGGAGAAAAAAAAAGTGTAATAAAACTTTGGGCCTGCTGGAGGGCCCCTTCCCAAGGAGTTAACACACTTTGAGGCAGGTCTGTCATGACCTAGGCATGCAGTCTGCATGATGCTAACTATAAGTTTTCATTACAGTGATTTGTCAGCGACATTAGCCCTGTAGAAATAAACATCAGACACCAAACATGTCTTGGCTGATGGTTGACATTTGGGCCAGGTGGTGATTTTTGTCATTGAGTAAATGTTAAAGTCATGCTTTTCAAACAAAAAACTCACCAGTAGGAACAGAATCAAATAAAAAACTTAACAAGCCGTTCCAGTGACTAGTGATCACCAGTCACTGCCTCTACAACAGGACATTCAGCTGCTTACTGCTATAGCCAAGTACAGTGTAAACCCAAGAGAAAAGATAAACGGCTTTCACCTGTCTGTTCCTTTCATCAACAATGCGAGTGATCTGGATCTTCTTACGGCCCATTTTTTCACCACGTTCTTCTTCCCCTAAACCCAGACAACAGCTCGAGTTCTGTGAAATCTGTTCTGCGAACCCTTTGTCCGCTAGCGCGTTGTCAGAAAATGAACGTTCTCATCCTTTTTTGAGGACCCAAACCCTGTGGAAGACATAATTAATTCAGATGATTAAGTGTTTTTGTCACCCTACCACTCCTTCATGAGTCATGGTATTTACAAGTAATCCCAAAGCACTTTCAGCAGTTATAACACAGAAGAGAATGTAATGTAACACATTTGACCCAATGCTTTGCTACAAAAGTATTAACAGCATTAATATAATATGGCTGGACTGCATTTGTTTATGAGTCTATAGACTACAGACACACACAGCTCATCAAAACAGAAAGATATGACTACCAGCTTAAAATGCTTCAGACAGTAATATTTCAGTTAAAAATCTAATTTACACAATTTGTATCTTAGCCTGTGTGTCAACTTGCCTCATAGCTGCAGGGCAAAACTAAACAAGCAGTTTGGATACCAAACAATAACGAAGAAAATTGTGTAAATTAGACTTCTGAGTGAACCAGAGCTGTAAAGAGGAATTTCAACAATTTACAAAGTTTTGTTTTACCATCACTGTAAGAGTAACTTCACAGGCAAAGGAAAAACATTCTTTAAGAACCTAAATCTGTGTTTTCTTTCTAATTAGGTTAATCTTGTTCTTGCAGGTAAACAGTAAACAGGCAAAACAGACCCTTTGAATAATGTTCCAAAGACTGATAAACGACCGACATATTTCACCATATTTCTCTCCTCCAGATGTAAACTGGGCAAACCTAATCTTGGGTAACGCTTCCGTAAACATTCCCCTGACCAATCACAAGGCTGCGTCTTTTGCCCCGCCCATACAGAACAGTTTCAGAGGCAGAGAAACTTAGCAGGCTAAAGCAAATTCAGCATAACCTAAAGCTACCAAGCTAGACCACCTGTCTGTAGCTCCCTGATACCCGTTCATTCGTTTATACGTACACACACATCACTCATTCGTCCATTTCATCACACGTTGCTTCGTCCATCTCTTGATTCATCCGTCCGTCCATCTGCAACATCTGTTCGTCTGTGACTTTTATCGTTCAGTTAGCATCACATAAAAGCTGGATAATGATTTCAGTTCTGTGTGAGGGGCGGAGCAGGCTAGGAGTGTTGGACAAGAGCTGTCAATCAAGCTACTCATTAGCCACGCCCACACAGTTCTCAGATCGGCCTGGTCAGCAGTTTGTAAACCGTGTGTTATCATACTCAGGCTATATCTCGTATATTTCATTCAAGTTTTGCTGGATGTTTCATATAACACTCAAGCTTGGTGTCACTGTTATGATACTAAATGACTTTTTATGATACTTTTATGACATTTTTAAAGTTTTACTTTGTGTTCCCTGGGACTTTAGTTTTCACTAAGTTAATACTACAAGATTCAATTCTCATCATTTTAGACTGTTTCTGTTGGTCAGTTTGTCATAAAATTTTGATCCACTGCAAACAGTAGCTGGTGAAAATTATGTAAAAAATAAAAACTACTAAAATGGAGATAAAAGGTTTTTTTCAGTGTCGGTTCACTGGTGATTTTGGATAGTAATAAAATGTCTATATTTGTGCTATAGATGTTGTGACCCCTGGTTCCTATCACCACCACTGTCAAAAATTCGAAAAGAAATTGTAACAAAAGAGTCAGTAAATTTCTCTGCATTGCACCATTTCTCATCTAACCACTCTGAACGACTTTGTTAACATCTCGGCCGCAGACTTTTTAAAAAAATCGATGGAATTCCCCTTTAAGTCAGGCCTATGAATGGAGCAATTCCAAAAGACTTGCTAAGAAGCAAACTGAACTTCATCACGAAAGCCGAAAGTAGAGATCCGGTTTGTGCGTGAAAGTCGACGGGTCCCGCTGTCTCCCACGCAGTGTGAAAACCAAACCAGGCTTTACAATAGCATCCTTCAATGAGCATGACAAGTTCACCCAACTGTGAGCGCTCCTGTACTTACATAATCAGCAGCTCGTGCCAAGAGAGCCTACAATGCAATATGTCATTTTCTACTCAACCGGCTCAACCTCATTAAAAAAAACAGCAACATCCCACACAGAATCTTGTAGACGTTCTATTGTTCCATAGTAATTATTGTTCTGAGGATCAGTGGGAGCTGTAAGAATTTACTGCGCTCTAAAAATAATTGAAAATGTCAGATGAAAACAGTGGGTTATATTTGGAAGTATTAACACTTGGAGCCTGGCGAATGTTTTTTGGTCGGTGGTTTGCACCAAAACAATTGTATCTCGGAACGAAAGGAGGAGAAACAACAGCTTCTGTCTCAGCAGCTTTCACACCTTCCCTCTCATCTCCTCAGTTACCAGGGAAACGCGTTAGATACTGTTAATAAGGCCAACCAACTGCGTCTAAGTTCAGCAGGGTGTGGTTGGATGAGGCTCCGCAATGGAATACAGATTGAAGACAATTAAGCATACAATGAATTCAAACCCTAATGTGCAAAAGATTGTACACTATATTGCTTGTGCATGGCAGCACTAGGAGGTCAAGAAAACTTCTAAGATTAATTTAAGTTCAAGACGTTGCATGACAAGGAGAGAATATGAGCTAAAATTATATAATTCTGTATAATTCTATTTCTATGTGTAATTTCTGCTGTAAAGTAAGCTTGGATGATAATGTAAATTTAGACAAATGATTATCATCAGCAGATATATTGAGATAAAAGATATAATCACGATCTGAATTGAGTTACAAGGTACCACATATGAGAGTTAAAAAGGCCTACCCTACATCCTTCAGTCTCCCTGAGGGTGATTAGGGATGCACAATCGGAATGGGCCAGGATCGGAATAGGCACATTTTTGCTCAAAACACAAAATCAGCAATTGGCCAATTTATTGGTTTTATTTTTGCAGATCTATGTTGGAATTTTGAGGTAAATAATGCGAGAGGTACTTGAATGCTGTAGATGAATTGAATTACACCTGTAGATGTCGCAGCATAATTATGCCTGACTTGTGCTAAACAGAACTGGAGTTTGATGATTAAATGATATGAATGATAACTTCATGAGAAGCAGAAAATGCAAGACCAACCTCTAAAACTGAACTTTGGAGGTGTGGAAAAATATCCCTGCAGATTTCTTTGAAAGGCTGAAAGTGAGTCTCCTGAAAAGAATAGAAGCTGTAAAAAGGTGAATACTAAAAAAATGATATTATATTTAGTTGTTGAGGCTTCTGTGCAATTTTCTGTTCCTGATACTGAAAGAACTAATGGGCGTTTTGACTAACTGGTCTCTGACTTTTCCACAGGACTGTATAATGACGGCAGAGATGGCATGTAACACTGTTAACATCCAGTGGTTCTACATGTTTGTTTGGTGGAAAAAACAAATTATTGCCAAACTTGAAAAAGGGTCCCAATGTACCAGAGTTTCTTTGGTTTATTTGCATATTCCTCAGACTGAAAATGTTTTAATCTTTCTAAGCGGTGTTCAATGTATGTATGTGTGCGGTTAATTAGCTGGTTATGTTTTTAAAGCCTATAATTAAGTGCAATCTTTTCTACTGTATATATTCTTAAACTAAGCATAGATTAGTATAATTGTATAAAGGGAACTGTTAAATAAAGGTGAAGCAATAAAAAAACACAAGGCATGAGAAAGAGAACAAAAAATGATAATTTGCATAATACTGGCACAGTCGATTATCACAAAATCCGCTAACATCAATTAGGCCACTGTAGAGTTCATCTCAGTGTGAAAGAGCTACTGCTGTAGAGCTACATAAGAACAAACGATTATTTCTCATTTAAAGTCAATGTGAATAGCAAATCATAATGCATTTTTCTTTTGTATTTGTGAGAGAAACGTGGTATAAAGGAGGGTATCTGTGCTAGCTAAGTGTTCACTTTCGATGATAAAACAGGGTGGGAGGTGAAACATGATATTTTTGGTTATTACATTTTCCCGTCTGTGATGTAATCAAAAATCAGAAGACGCTTTACAGCAGGGGCATCAAGCTCAACCAGTAAAAATCCGTGGGCCTAAGAATGAAATCTGAAGTCCCCAGGAGGTAGGTCTGTGAAACCTGCCTATGTACTCGATCTAGACAGCTGTCATCTTTCTTTGCAGCAAGTTCAATAATTCTTGGGATCAGTTTCTGAGCTGCTGAGTGTTTATACTGGTAGAACTGCAGCTGAAAGGCAGCTAGTGTGTATGGTGATGTGACTGGTGTGGTAGAATTGTCCCATAGATGGGCTTTAGAGGCAGAGCAAAAGTCACTACATTTTGATTTGTTGTTCAATTCAGGATGCCTTTCAGAAAATGATTGCGATTTCTAATGTAAGATGTGGATGTGGATGAATTTTTGCCTCCCAGTGAAGAGAATGAGCAACGATTAGCGCAGCTCACACCTCCCATACTGTCATTTCCAAAAAAAAGAAAAAGCATGTGCTTCCCAAACTGTTAATAAGCTCACAAGTGTACGTGTCTGCGAAACATGTGTCGCAGTGTAAAAGATGACAAAACACTTCAACTCACATGACAGAAAACACCAGGCTTCAGATGGTCAGCATCCTTGTTTTCCCTGGACTTCTCCTGGCAGCACTCAGATCCACCTGAAACACACCAACAGTGAATATTAGAAAAAAAATGGCCAATAGTATATCTCAAATCAGCTTTCACACAGTTGGTGGCACGTCCAGGGTTAAGATACACAGACAAAGTAGTGATGGCTGGATAGTGAATACACTGTCCTAAATGTATTACAATACATAAAAAGTAAGGTATTCAGAATACATGCTTCAGTCCACTGCTGGTCCCACAATTCCCCAAGGAGTACAATACAGGACAACACAGATGATAACTTACCTAGTAGACTCTACTCAGGCTTAGCTCAGTAACACTGAGATTAATAACCGATCATCACATTGATTTATCAGTCTACTCAGGCTTTAGCAGAGCTCAGTAACACTGAGATTAATAACTAATCATCACATTGATTTATCAGTCTACTCAGGCTTTAGCAGAGCTCAGTAAGACTGAGATTAATAACTAATCATCACACTGATTTATCAGTCTACTCAGGCTTTAGCAGAGCTCAGTAACACCTAGTATAATAACTGATCATCATATTGATTTATCAGTCTACTCAGGCTTTAGCAGAGCTCAGTAACACTGAGATTAATAACTGATCATCATATTGATTTATCAGTCTACTCAGGCTTTAGCAGAGCTCAGTAACACTGAGATTAATAACTGATCATCATACTGATTAATCAATCCATTCAGGCTTCAGTAGGAAATTCAGTATCTGTAAAGAAGTCGTTAATTGAGGTCCTCTTTAGAATTTGTCTAATGAGCATGTTCGTTACATGAAATGCACTGATTATAAATAGTTTATAAACAAGCATTGATGGTGTTTCCTTTAAAGATGCTATATATATTATTATTTTTTAAATTTAGTGAGTAGTCTTCTAAAAATGTAAAAAGCAACTGTACTCTGAATACTGCCTTTACAAAATGTAACTTGGACTGAATACAGTTCAGCCAAAAATCGAACACAATTTCCCCTTTTGCAAAGCAAATATGTGTTTGGTGTTAACAACGAATTTTAGCTAACCAGGAATGAAAGCTATACTACCAGTTAGCATCATGCTAAATTGCTAAAACTGCATGCCTAAAACACCACACACTTACCTCAAACCATGTCAAGTTGTTCAGTAATACCAAATAGACTTGCTTATTTGTTTTGACACTGAATAACCTACTGTTATCTATTAAAATGGACATATTCAGGCTTAAAGAGGGCTGCTACTACTGTTTTTAGCTCTGTGAGATATTGTCTATGTATATACACAACAATATATTTTGATTATTCACCAAACTATTGCTTTAAGGAGGGATTAACTGTACTATATAAATGCTTCTGTAAGGGGTGAGTTTATATAAGATTTATTTTTTTAACTTATATTATCTACAGCACTGCACAAAAACCTTAAGTCTTTATACTAACATTAGAATAAATACACATGAAAACACAGATAAATAATAAATTATGATTTAATTTGTATTAGTATGTTAGCTTAACTCAGAGGCGCCCTTTTTGTCTGGAGGAGGCAAAGTGTAATATTCGTGGTGGGCTGAGGGCTGAGTAAACAAATAAAGAAAGGTAGGTGGGTTTCACATTTTGTATGTATTTAAAAATGGATTTTCTAACATTTTATCTTGCTACTTAAAAAACAAAAAACAAAATTTAAAGTACAAATTTGAAAGGAAAAACAGAGTTGAAGAAATTACATCTAGTATAAAAATATGGTTGTTGTAATGCTTGTTCCAACTTTGGGCAGCTCTAGTTTATTTTTAAATAAAGTTGAATTTCCAAAGCTGTTCTTGAGAAAGTGCAGTGTTTATAGTTACCATCCAATTCCTAGTTTATTTAATCAATCTATGATTAAATGCTGCTGACGGAATTTCACAAATCCATGCCGTGCGGTGAAAAGTCAGGAACCAAACCTGTGTTTTTGTGACAAAGATATTAATAACTTTAAAAAAAAACAAAGAAATATCTCGCTGCTGTCGGACCAAAACCTTGTCTCTCCAAACTAGTAACTTTACAGGAGAAGGAAAACCCATACTCTACTTTTAATGTAAGTCACGGGGACTTTTTCCCCAAGCAATTTTGGGTCATTTCTTTTGGTCCATTCATCTTGAAATTTACAAACAATATAAAGGACAGTAGGTTTTTTCAAATTATGTCAAAAACTGAAAAACGGCAAAAATAGAGACACAAGGTTTTGGTCCGGCAGCAGCGATATGTTACATTTCACTGAATTGCTATTAAATGTATTCATCAATATTTATCTGATGTTACATACTGTTACTGGCAGTAAGACTTACATGAAAAGCTTTAAACAATTTTCTTGAGTGCCTAAGACTTTTGCACTGTACTATATACTGTATATTATATTAGGTTAATCATCAATGTTTTGATGGTCGCTTTATTGTCTGTTATTCCTGTTTTATGTTGAATTACTTTGCCTCTTGTTTTTGTGTGCTTTTTTCTTTGTCAGGGTTCATTTAAAAGTGATTTTTTAATCTCAGCGTGATGAAATATTAAACATTGAAATATATAAATAAATAAATCTACGCCTGAAAAAGAGGAATCTGAGGGCTACTATTGCTGACCATAGCAAGCTCCACTTCAATCTGCATGACATTCTAGGTTTTGTCTGTTTGGCTTTTCCTTTGTGTTCTGTCTTACTGTAAAACAAAAAACTGCACAAAATCTCTATGTTAATATCAAAAAGGGAGGACATGCTCATACGACCACGAACAAAACTGATAATCTTGTCGAGCACAAGAATAGCGCTTTCAGATGATGTGCGAGCTCTCAAGGGCATGCATAAATGAGCTGAAAACACAATGAGCGTATCGAAAGTCTCCTCAGACTAGACCTCTATCCTGATTGTGTCCAATTCAGTTGCAGAGCAGCACTGAAGGGTCAGTGAGGAGATTCCATCCCTGCTGAACCGTCTCCCAGCCTGCGTTATTAACCAGCCACCGTACACCAGGGAGTAAACACACACATTTAGTTGACAAACATACTCAGGGGCTTTCTGGGGAAAAGGTCTTAACCAAAGTGATGTTTGTGTCCTGAATTAAACATGGTTAACTGTGTTTATGGGCAAACTGGCTGAGCTCTTTTTAAGGGCAAAATTCTGGGATGAGAAAAGCTCCAGTGTGAATTAAAGCAGTCGGAGTGTGGGGCGCTAGCTGCACATTTTAGGACCAAATGCAAACAGTGACCGAAATATTGTTTTGCCAGTAATATCACCCAATATTAAGGGTTCGTGGATTTATTGCAAAACTTCTGTGAATAAAATATAGATATTGCTGCCGATCATTCCAGTTTTAACAATAAATGTCTTAAACGTTAATTTGTTAATGTAGCCTACAACTTCTAATTAACCCTTTAACCCTGAAGATCGGCGTGCAGACTGCTGGTCACATAGCAACACAGATAACAGTCTCGTCTAGCTAGTAGCTAACGAAAAGGCAAAGAGAAAGATTTAAGATGAACATCGCTAATTTAGAGACGAGTGGACTTATTTGCGGTTATAAGCACTCAGATGGTTTCCTGATATGTTTAATCTGCAACGAGAAACTGTCAAACACTAAGTCATGAAGCCAAAGTCAGCTTTTCGTTCAAATTTTCCTGTTCCACCTTAAACGGTGCAGCAGTTACATTTAAGGTGGAACAGGAAAATTCGAACAAGAAGCTGGCGAACGAGAAGCGACGTCAGCCTCGTAAAAAATCTAACATTAAGAGGCATTTTACAGAAAACAATTCCACTTTTGTGGAAAAGCTTCCTGCTAGAGATGCAATAAAAGCTATAGCTGGGCTAAAGCTTAAAGCAGAGCAAAGTAAGTCTGTTTTCATCATTTTTAGCCTATGCTAGTACATTAGCACATACTGAGACATACACTATATTACCAAAAGTATTCACGCACCCATCCAAATCACTGAATTCAGGTGTTCCAATCACTTCCATGGCCACAGGTGTATAAAACCAAGCACCTAGGCATGCAGACTGCTTCCACAAACATTTATGAAAGAATGGGTCGCGAATTGCAGCGTGGTACTGTGATAGGATGCCACCTGTGCAACAAGTCCAGTCGTGAAATTTCCTCGCTACTAAATATTCCACAGGCAACTGTCAGTGGTATTATAACAAAGTGGAAGCGATCGGGAACGGCAGAAACCCAGCCACAAAGTGGTAGGCCACGTAAAATGACAGAGCGGGGTCAGCGGATGCTGAGGCGCATGGTGCACAGAGGTCGCCAACTTTCTGCAGAGTCAATCGCTACAGACCTCCAAACTTCATGTGGCCTTCAGATTAGCTCAAGAACAGTGCGTAGAGAGCTTCATGGAATGGGTTTCCATGGCCGAGCAGCTGCACCCAAGCCTTACATCACCAAGCGCAATGCAAAGCGTCGAATGCAGTAGTGTAAAGCGCCGCCACTGGACTCCAGAGCAGTGGAGATGTGTTCACTGGAGTGACAAATCACGCTTCTCCGTCTGGCAGTCCGGCGGACGAGTCTGGGTTTGGCGGTTGCCAGGAGAACGGTACTTGTCTGACTGCATTGTGCCAAGTGTAAAGTTTGGTGGAGGGGGGATTATGGTGTGGGGTTGTTTTTCGGGAGTTGGGTTCGGCCCCTCAGTTCCAGTGAAAGGAACTCTTAATGCTTCAGCAGACTAAGAGATTTAGGACAATATCATGCTCCCAACTTTGTGGGAACAGTTTGGGGATGACCCCTTCCTGTTCCAACATGACCACCAGTGCACAAAGCCAGGTCCATAAAGACATGGATGAGCGAGTTTGGTGTGGAAGAACTTGACTGGCCTGCACAGAGTCCTCACAAACGCACTTCTGGAAGAATGGTCAAAAAATCCCATAAACACACTCCTAAACTATGTGGAAAGCCTTCCTAAAAGAGTTGAAGCTGTTATAGCTGCAAAGGGTGGGCCGACATCATATTAAATCCTATGGATTATGAATGGGATGTCACTCAAGTTCATATGCGTGTGAAGGCAGATGAGCGAATACATTTGGCA